CTGGGGTGAGCGTCTTTCTGTGTTCTCCTGTTTTGCAGTAGCCTGCACATACCAAGTTCCTTGTGAGGCACATATCAGCCTTATTCAGGCATGTTCCAACCTAAATAAATAACACTCATCTGAAATAACTGGTAATTCACCTAAAAGCAAAAATCCTTCATTGGAGCGTGGCCCAAATTAAAATGTTTGATGCAGAAACAGATTTCTTGCAGTCACATCGCAAACAAAAATATATGCACAGTAGGAGACAGCAAGTCCTTGAGCTGGGCTCTGTGATGTTCCCAGTCCCACACTGCACAGATGAGTCTCACCTCTCTGCTTTCAAGCCAAGGTACTTGGTCCAAATGGTTGCTTTTGAACACCTGTGGCCCAACCTAGGCTTGGTATGTGTGAAGACTCCATTTGGTTCTGTGTGGGATGGACAAGAGTCTGGGCAGTACTGTCAGCCTTTTGAGTCAGAGTAACAAAACTAACGCCAAGTTCTGGGAAGCAGACAATACTGGAGAGACACTGTGCCACAGCTTTACACGTCAGCTTTCGGAAAGCACACTGAAGCCATTTATCCAGCATCTTGTAAAAGCACCATTGAAAGGTTGAACAGAGAGCACCGTGGATACAGAATTGTGCTCAAGACAGCGGACAGGAGCTGCTCAGGGAGCCATGGAGAAGCACACAGCCCAGAAGAATCCCTGCAGGGTGGATTCCCTGAAGGCACAATAGATGAGGGCTTAGGGACAAGGCAGCTGGTCCTCAGCCAGTTGCTACAGTGGGAATGGTCCAGCTCTGGGCGACTTCTGGATATGGATCACCGCACCTACTCATCCCTCACCCCATGAATCCTGCTACATGTAAGCAAGCCTGCAATTGATATTAATACAAAGACGGAAGCGACTAATTGCTCACGGTTGACATGGACAAAGACCAGCACCTCCCTGAATACTCACTGTTGAAAAAGGTTAGGTTCTTCAAAAGAAGACTGATAAGTTTTATTGCAAAGTTTAGTCGTCGTAGCTACATTACTGGGCTTTTAAAAGGATGTTCGTGAGAGAGTATTGCTATTGTAGGGCTAATTGAGGTCAAATACATTTAAAGTGTCTTTATAAAGCTGTTTCCAACTTAGACAAATAAATGTGGGGGTTGTTTCTTTGTAGTTTTGTATTAACACAGTAGGGAAAAGAGTATGGAAGTACTAGCTACTTAGTGAAAAAGGCACTATTACTCATCTAACCATGGTCATTAGATACACACCTGTGCTACAGATATCTGTCAAGAATCTATTTCTTTCCGTGACTGAGAAAGCAATTCTGTGCTCATCGTGGTAGAAAGGGATGACTGGTTTAGGTATGGGGTTAGAACAACTCTTGCAGGAGACACAGATTCATGGAAGAGACATCCAAACTGCATTTCCTATTTCTGCCAGTTCCCAGAAGGAAATCAGAAAAGACTTTTTCAATAATATAGTCACACACACATTACAGCTTGCCTTGGCCTTACTATGGCAACCAGATGTGAGATTTTATATAGTTGTGCCAAAAAATGGAGGTACAGAAATAGAGTGTGAAGTTGCCCCAGAAAAGATCACCGGGTAACAGATACATAATTTTGGATGTTGACATTTTATTCAGGGATATTGCGAAAGAGAAAAAATAGCAATGAAGAGACAAGTAGAAGAGACTGCCTCTTCTGTACAGTTGGCTTAATCTATTTGGGGATTACTGTTGGGAAAATCTTTCCATCAAATATATTAGTGAATAAAAAGCATTGGCAACAGCAGTAAAGAAACAGATCTTACTTCTCGAAGAAGGGAACTAAAACAGAAGCTTGATTCTTTGTCCAGAGATGAAATTATTCACTTAAGAACCTTGGACTGAATTCTAAACCATTTTTCTTTAGCATTAGACTGCATAATGGAGATTGTAGGGGAGTTACGGACTCCACCATACATGCTTTTTCAGGAGGGTAATTCCTTTTTGCAGCTCCCAAGAGTCCAATGTGAGGGGGTCTCAACAGCTGAGGGCAGATAACAGGTTGCAAGCAGCAATCCAGAGTCTGAGGTCCTTCCCCACCAGGCTGAGGGTCTGGTGGTCGCTGAAAAGGTTGTGACCAGCCTGAAAGTCATTGAAGTGGGAAGGAACGTGCCAGCACCACAGCACTGCAGACTTGGTACCAGCTCCCAGTGCGAGGCTGTGTAAGACAGGTTAAAAACAGAAACAAAAGAAAAAAGAGAGGGGAAGGCATCTCACTGCAGAAATGGAAGTTGGGGGGGTCTCAAGGAGCAGCTGTCAGAACAGTGGAAAAGGAAGGAAGTGCTGAGTCTCACATCCCTTCCTCCTAACCAGCGCTCTTGATTCTGCTCTGAAAGACTGCAAAGAGCGACTGGGCAGCCTTCCTCCTTCCTTTGACTTGCTGGTCTTGATGGGGGCACTTCTATAGTGATGTCTTATTTTCTTCTTTTGCACCTTATGATTTTATAATCAAGAGTTCAAGGGATTTTTTTTTTTTGCTATGGTTAACTGGCATTAGCTTTTATCTTTAAACCGGTCTTGAAATTGCATCTGGTGAACCTTTCAAACCTCACATTGCTTCTGTTTCTCCAAAAGCAGTCATCCATGCAACGAGTAAGACAATCCTCAAGGGACAATTAAATCTTGAGATGTTTTTGGGAATGTCAGGAGTTGGGGTATGCCTGCCACTAAGTTGCAGGAGTCAGACTGAAGACTACATATATAAACCCATACCACTGAGCAAGGAACAGACAGCAAACACATAGTTAAAAACTTCAGAAATTCTCCAGAGTTGGCACAAAAGATCTGAAATGTGGTGCATCTTATCTTTGGCCTTAAACAGTGTGAAGTAGAAGGAGAGAACAGTCAAAGGCGAACTTCATGAATTCACATTCAAGGGAACAGAAACAGAAACTGGTTTTGAGGGAGAAACTCCAGACAGAAAGACTGAAGTCAGCTTCAAAAAGCATTACAATGAAGTGGATGCAGAGGATGTGCTGCAGCGGTGGAAGCATGGCAGCATGGTCAAGAACACGACAGATGTAGCCTGATCACAACTGCGAAGAGTCATAGCTCAAGCACACTGCACTGAAGCAAGTGGTCAGGATCCACAAAGTCCAAATCACCCCACGGTCAGAGTTTGCACACTTGCACTGATCCTCAGAGCCATCCTACTAACAGGCAAAGCTCATAAATTACTACACTTCTTTCAGTTATGAAGTGATTTCTAATATGTGTGCGTAACCAGATCGGTGTTTGCACTTCATAGTACCATGTAATGCTGAGTGCTGGCCAGTGATCTGAGAGGGACTCAACCCAATATATAAAAATCCAGTACCAAGTGAACTGCAACTAAACCCATTGTAGGCTACTATGGAATAAGCCAACCTCAGTTTATGTACTGTTTATTTTGAATTGAAAATAAACTACTTTTCAAGCATCGTGCCAAATACTATGTATGTGAACGTTATTTAAATGGTACCAAGTTTGCCCCATAATTTATTCTTGTGCCTAAATTACATCTGTGTGCGTATATACATGGGGATATATGCCCACATATATGTGTACAAGTGTGTACAAATGCGTATCACACAATGCCAGCTGGACTATTCTTGTACTACTGTACCATTGAAGAAAACAAAAGTACCAAGCCAGTATCTACTTATTTCATCAAAGCACTGCACTCTGTTTTCAAAAGTAACAGAATAACTTTGCATCTTCGAAAGATGGTGGCTTTGAAACTGCTTGTCAGAGCCCCAAGAAGCTCTTGGTCACCCTCCTGCTCCTTTAGCAGAGGAACAAGGAGGACCAGTGGCTATCCAAGACTGAATTCCACTCCCTCTCTGTCTCTTTTTTGCCCTTTGCCAGTGTTCTTTTACACAGACTCCATTATTTTGAGCTTAAAACCCAGCAGGGCATTTTCACATCCCTGCTCAGCAAAACCTAAAAAAATCCAAAGTTCATTTACATATTTCAAAATGGGGGGAAAAAGGAAAACTAAACAAAGCCCGATCAAAGAATGGGGTTTCTACTGTTACATAAAACAGAAAGTTAATCCACAAAAATTTTGAAGATGAAAAATATGTTGTAAAAATAAAAAATATCCACTCAACACAGTAAATACATTTTCCTGTATAATAAAACAGTTGAACAAAATATTTTAAGTCTTAAAAAAGGGCAAAATACTTCAAAAGATGACTCAATACTATTAAGGGTAGACTAAACATTATGCCAACACATCCATTTGCACAACTTTTTGCAATGTGACAATTGCTTGGTGTGTGTACACATAGATACATATGTGCGCAAGAGGGGAATGGAGCAAGATCGCTAAGGGTGTCACTTGCCATTTTAAAGCAGTATTTCACAAATAATCAAACAAAAACCCTACAAATACCAGTACACACCTCAAATATTGCAAATCACGTTCTACAGCACTTGACATTAAAAAAAGTAAGAAAAAGGTGACAGAACGAATTCAAGTACATTTGGCATAGGACCCTTGTGAAGTGAAGTGCTGCTGTTTGCGCTTTAGTTGTGGTGAATGTGGACAGAGCTCCCCAAAATACACAGAAGTGAGCACACCTTCCCCAGCCCTGCAACCTAAGTCTGAGTTGAGGTATGATGATCCATGATCTGCTCAGCGAAGTGGGTGCCTGAACTTGAATGAAAAATGATGCTTGAAAAAACACTTTGAAGCAAATGACATAAAATAATCTTCAAAGATGAAAAGCTAGCTTTGTGTAAAGGCAGTCCTTTTGGTATGTAATCCTATCAGGATGACAAGCACGGCACTCCTTCCCAAATTCTGGTCATCATAGAGCTAACAATAAAGAAGCCTGTACGTTGTCCTGGTCATCATTTCAACCTGACGTACCCTTTTCTGTGAGCCTCTATCCACCACCCAGACAACCTAAGGGTATCACACCCCAGCTGAAACGTACGCTGCTTCTTCACAGCTTTTGTTCTCTACTGAGCTTTGTTCCTCAAAAGGAGAAGCACTTCCCTCTCTGTGTTTCACGTGTTCCTTTGAAAATACCAGTGGGTAAGATAACTGCTGAAATCTGCCTGCCGGAGTGGTTAGAGTCTGGTGAAATCCCTGTGGTGCTGCAAGTCCCCTATGCTCTCATAGTCATTCTCTCCCGAAAGAGCAGTGTGGTTTGTGTTAGGCACAGAAAAGGTCCTGTCTTCTTCATGGCTCACTGCCTGGATCGCTTCATAGTCAGGCTCCAGCTCCCCGTTCGGTCTGTCTGCTGACTGAGGCACAGTGGTAGTATTTAGGGTGTTTTCAAAGTCCTTCACACTTGCATAGAGGCCACTGCAAACCGATGGGGACCTCTGAGATGCAATTTCTTGAATACAGGTGTAAGGAGAATCCAGTGCCTTGATGGCCTGTCCCGGCTTACTCACCGATGAGTACATGGCAGAGATCTAGGAGAAAGAGACACCTGCTGAGTATTCAAGCATGGCATAAAGCTTGTGTGCCTGTTTGTACCCCTTCCACCATGTTTGTTACTTAAGAAAGGACGGGATTTTTGCATAAAAAACTTACTCTTTCTTACATTAAAAAAGGTTTCTTACAAATCTTTGTTTTTCTGGCATGCATTTATAAATTCATTTTTGTTCAAAAAAGAATGCTTTATAAAAAAAGTTTATAAATGTAAAAATTCTTTGAACATAAATCCCCTGCAGATAAATTAGGCCCAGGACAAAAGGGAATGGTTCTGTTAGCAGGAGCTCTTGCAAGTTTTGCTGTAGTCCTGGAGCCAGCTTGGGTTCAGTGGGGAGACAGACATCAAAGGGATGATCAGGTTTAGCTGCTGCAATGTAGGAGAATGATGCTGTCTGATCCTTTGGGGTTTTAAAATTATTGTTGTTGTTGTTGTTGCTGCTATTATTCTTATTCTTATTCTTATTCTTATTCTTATTCTTATTCTTATTCTTATTATTGGTAGTGGCTACTTTTCTGCTTTTAGAGACACCCCAAAAGGAGAGTAGTTATTTGTTGTGTTTATAGGCAGGACCAAGGAGGCACCATCATGTAAAGAGAACATTAAAAATCAGGAGATAAATTGCCCACACCAGCAAACAGCAACTAGTCAGTGCCGATCTTGATACACAGGGTCTGTTGTATTTACTAAACTCTGCCTACAAAGAGAAGCTGCATCTCAGTCGCTGCATATCAGAACTTAAGACCAGAGACTGAAACCTCTCCACTACACAAGAGAGGGTGGAGAGTCTCACTACTAGCTGTAAAAATCCCCTCTGAAGAGGTGCTATGCTTAAAAAAGTGCATGAAGGACGCCCTTCATAAAGAGGTGAAGGAGAAGCCCATGCCCACATATGTGCATCCACTCATGGCTCACCGGGGCTGATGCCAAGCTCAGGGAGCGACTCTTGACTCCCTCTCCCAGTCCAAGTGCACAGGGCAGATGGCCGAAATGCTGCTGCTCCTCTGCTACCTAGCACTGCAATTGCCACATAGCTCTTCTGTTACGTTTATAGTCTTTCCCCAGCATGCAAAGCTGCTCTGGGTTTGTACCAAACCAATTAAAATAGTAGATGGGCATGAAAATATCCATTACCATTAAGCAACAGTGAGTGGTACAGATGAACCAGATCGCTTCTATTAATTCTGCATTTTTTTAAATTTTGTTTTTATAAAGAGAGACATCCAATTGCAGATGGCAATACTCCTCACTTTTTACTGACTTCAGCCAACCAAACAAAAAATGGCTTTTCTGGTCATCCATAATTTCTGGCAAGAAGTTACACAAACCCAGCTCAAGGATCAATTTATCCATTGATGTCTGGGAGCGCTTCTCCCAGCAGTAAGCATTAGCTCACTCAGCACATTGCCAAGGTTGTGTTTACTTTTATGTTCAGAGAACGTATTTATAAATTGCACGGGTGCATTGGAGATGATCACAAGCAACCTTATTTCTGTTTAACTTTTCTGTCTTTGTTTCAGTCTCCTCTATTTATTTGACTAACAAACATTTTAAAGAACAGTTTATGTTCCAGTGCTTTTATTGTGCTTCTGTTTATTTCCCAGAGCCCCACTTTGCCTGGGGAAGATGGATCACGTTTCTAAAGGCTGATGATTATTATTCTTAAATAGAGTTTGTCATCCAAATCAAGAAGCTGCCCCAACTAATTGTGGCCTCCCATTATTTTCTGGCATTTTTTTCTTAATCTACTGTCCTGTTACAGAATACTTCTGGTTTTAGGAACGTAGCAGTACAAAGTCTGTGCAGAGAAACTTTGGCTTTCATTTTCCCTTCAGACAAATTTCACCTTTCTTCGATCCTGCTTAATCATGCAGAGCTTATGCTAATTTCTGCCTGAAAAAAGGTCTCTAGTTAGTTATTGAATTTTGTGCAAGAAACCTACCTCATCTTCTGTAAGAGATGGATCTTCCTCTCGAGACTTGTAAGACATTGAACTAAGCCTCTGTAAAAAAAGGAAGAAAGAAAAAAGGCTCATTACCAGTCAACGGTGTGAAACCTATAATAAAACCCTCCCATTACAATCAATACATTATATTTTATGGTCATTTCCTCACTAGTTCCATTTTATGTAGCTAATATCTCTAATATCCAGAGTATATCTCTGAAGATAACAGCCCTGAGGTTATAGAGGTTTTTAATGCAACTGCTCTTGTCCTGACCTGGAAAGGGTAAAAATAATGTAATGGTTAAAACAAACTCTGTTCCTCTGTATCCCTGCCTTTACACTGCTAATGAAGCAAGAAAGAGCTTGCAAAGGCTTCTGAACAACCAAAAGTCAGCTGTTGTGACACACTAGTAGGCTTTCCACCTGATTTTCAGGTATGCTTTTAGATGACAGGAGGACAATACTCAACTGGCACCTTCGTGATGATTACTGTCCTTTAGTCAGTGGGTCCTGGAAGTGCTGCAAGCGAGTCATCGTGTCCTCCTCACCCACGAAATGCAGCAGCTGTGCAGAGGTGCACAGCAGCACTGCCTCACACCCACTGAGACCGCCAACACGGATGAGACCTGCTCTGCAACCCACCCTGAGATGGGCAGCAAGACCTTCAAAGCATCTGCCTGGATCCAGCTCACAGAGCAAAGGTACTGAAGGACGGAGGGCTTGGTCTGGTGTTGAGTCTAACTTCAAGCACGTAAAGCGTCATGTAGAAATTAGGTGACGAAACATTGAGGGAAAAGCATTTTGCTCTTACGAAGAATGTCTGAGGACCTTTATGGCAACAAAGACCCTGGCTGCCTCACAGCGGCCTCACGATGTGATTCCTCCCCATTGGGGTGAGAGGGCTTTGCTGGACACTTGCTCCACCGTGACTGAGAGGGACCCTTCCAGTACTGCTTGTAATGGGCTGTATTTTGGAGTTTCACACAAATTCTCCACCTAAAATACTTCAGACCTCCCCCAGTGCAGACCACGGTGGAGCAGCAGAGCTATTTTTAGCTCAGTCAATCAAATACGGCTTCCAGGCACACACTAGACACACAAGACCTTTTTTCCACAGAGGCTCATTACAACAGATTCTTTCCTTCTTCCCCTCTTCTCAGTGTTTTTACTTCTGGTAAATGTCAAGCTTCAGACCCCTGGGGCACTTCTGATGGAGACCCTGACCCAAAGCGCACTGAGGTCTCTCTGCTACTCCCTGGGGGGCTTCCCTCACACCTAACAACTCCCTCGCTTCTTTCTTGCTGCCTGGAGAATGAGCTCTCTAACCTGTGGTTTGTTTACTCACAAAAAAAAAAGAAAAGAAAAAGGAGAAGTTCAAATGTATTTTGGCCTCTTATTAGATCTGCCTTACTACAGCAGTTCAGTCTTTCTCATTCACAGGATATTTTTTGTGTTGAGGAGTAAGTTACGGTTTTGTCTTCACACATTAAAACAAATATGTGCTTGCAAAATTCTGCACTGGTTTTCTCTCATCAGTGTATCTGTAAGCACCACGTGTCAGGACTCCTTCTATTTTCCTGCTCAAGTACTGACAATTCCCCCAGGGTGCGGTCAATCCTGTTCATGTTTGCCTGGGACCTAGCGTTCTTCCTTCTAAGTATGAAACCTGTGACACATCAATTTTGAAGGATATTGTCATCTTGGAAACTGAAAAAAGAAATAGATGCTCCTAAACATTTTGCACCTAGCAATATTATAACTAATCCTTGAAACCTCAAGAGCAGCAACACAAACAGTATGTGTCCTTATTTGCCTTCCACTTTCCTTTTGTTCCTCGACAGCAATGGATTTTTTTGCTCTCTGGCTCAGCTGCTGCTCCTGACTGGGGCACCAGAACAAGAAGAGCATTCTCTTCTGGTGCATTTGTAAAAGATGCTTTGCCCATCCTCAGGCTGCACAAGTCTGGCATCAGAGGGCAGCAGCCAAATGCACACACGCAGAGCATTTCTACCAGCGCTCACTCTGGGTGGAAAAGGAGATCTGTACTTCATTTCTTTAATTAAAAAGGAAGCTAAAGAAAAACTCTTCAGCCTCTCTGGTTCTATTAGAAGAACCATGTCCATTTTTTTCCAGGTGATAGGAACCTTAAGAGGCAATGTACTATTAAAGGTGTCTTTCTTCACCAAAACTTTCCAAAGGATTTGGCTGGGTCACAGTCAATAGCCAATTTAGATAATGAATTTTCACTCTGGTCTGGCTCCTGAAAGGATCCTTTATCCTTTTCATGCTGTTACAACACTGGTACAGTCTCTGGCCTGGTCTTCCTAGCTCTCTCTGAGGTGAGCGTGCTTCAGGAACTGGTATGGGCTAAAGATCATCCTGGCTGCCCTCTGTTACAGGGTCAGATGGAAACAGCCTGGATGTGGTCTGTCCTCTGTTGGCATGTACAAGTCTCAGTTACGGGCAGCCTCCCTGCATTACCTTCTCTGTGCCATACTAAAGCAAAGCCAAATTGTAGTAAGAGAAACTCACATGACTTACACCCAACCTCTGTCTTCATCAGGGTCAGGACGGAAGGCTGAAAGTTTGGGATACGGGTGCCATGTTAAGCAAGGCATCTAAGTAGCCTCACAAGAGAGGAAGCAAAAAGGGACCCCTATGGAGTCTGTTTAACTAAAAGAGTTATCAACATAACAGCCATTTCCATAAACATCTTGGTTTTGGTTGCCGCATCAGAAAAAAAAAAGGCATTGCTCTGCATTGTTTGAAGCAGCAAAATAGAGGGAAAAATTATCATCATCGCAACAGAAAAACAATCCTGCAACCACCTCCCAACACAATGCCAACAATAATGACATTTATATATTCCATCAATTACCATTTCCAGCTCTGCTGCAGCTGGAGCTCTCAAGGACAGGACAGGCGCACGCTTCGATGCATAATGCATGTACCCAGCAGAAGTGCGGGAAGGATCTGGTGCTGCGAAGCTTTAACTCGGGATGGCTTTAGCTCTGAATAAATTTTAATTAGACAAACACCTTTCTCCTGGTACTTAAGGGACCACGTATGTCATCTCTTGATTAATCCTTCAAAACCTGAACCGTTTTAATCAATTCCCACTCCTTGCAGTTACTGACACTGTGTACACGGTGTGCTGGGGAGCTACAGAGCAGCAAATGCTTTTTCCTTTACATTGGTGCCTGGGAAATACAATGATTTTCTGCAGGCCTTTTCACACCTGGTAGGAAAAACGCCACTGTTAGGGAAAGCTGTTTCTCTAAAAGTTTAATTAGAAATTCCATGTGGCCTGAATTTGGGAGGGGGGATTATTGTTGACAATCACATCTTAATTTTCTACTAAACGAGCTTGTTATTTGTACGAAGGTGCACTGAAGAGTCTGGATAAACAATTTTTAGGTTATGCTTAGTCTTCAGTTTATTAATTTTGACTCTATTGCACTTTATATATCTCTTGTTTAGTCAGTTACCTTTAACAGAGTATTTTTCTGCCCTATGCCTGGATTACTGAAACACTTCAAATAAGAGAACAACCAGAAACAAGTAACAATACCTCAGCTCTGCTGTGATTTTTCAGGTAAATGTTCACATTAAAATGTCACATCACACCCTAAGGATTTTTTTTAAATTTTCATCAATTCCTAGTACTATTTGATAACTCAAACACCAAAATTGTAATAACCTGCTAAAATCGCAGTTCTTTAATTCACAATTAACAACAAGTTATCTGAACTACTTCTGAAAAATGCAAACCCAGCAATTTGTGAGAACTCTGTGCAATGATCTGCAAACATCCTCAAAATCAATTCTGGCGAAAAACTAAAAATGGGAAAAGAACTTATTGAAAATGTCATCATTCTGTTTTTGCAAAAAGTTCACCACTAACTTGTCCCTAGACTGGCAGAAAGAACAAGCTGCTGAGAAAACATTAACTTTTGCCCATGATTTCAGCTGGTAGAAGTTAACTACTCTGTTTACGGCTGACACAGAGAATTTGACAAATATAAAAGCCTACAGTTGCAATCTCTCTCTCCTTCTGTCCCTCTCTCCTACAGAGAGAGACGAGAGGAGTTGCCACGAGCAGATACCCAACACAGCTGAGCCAATGTGGCCCAGCAAAGGAGGCACATCCTAAGTTAGGGTATCCACCAAGAATGCCCCCCTCTCCTTTTTGTAAATTGAGGTTTCATTAGGAAACAAAGCCAAGGGAAGTATTCTGAACAAGATATGGATGCTGACAAGAGATACTGGATAATATTGTAATAGCTCCCATAAGTGCAATACCATTAAACAAAGAGGCAGAAGCCTCCTGTGCAATTTCTGGACAGTATCTGGGAAAAGCCTTATGAAGTGCATACTGCGGCAATCCAAAATATAGGCTGCAATCGAATGAGTACCTGCCTATAATGCGAAGACCATACTGTATATTTTCACATTTCCCTATTTTTGTACACCTTGAGTGTTTTTTTTTCTTGGCATTTTTTAGTTATTTAAAAAACAAATCCTCTCCCACCCACATGTTCTCTATCATTATCTGGCTGTTTGACAAGGACAAGTATTCCAGCATTTACCTTCTCTGGTTTACTTGCTCCTTCTGTTATTTCTTCTTCTTCCACTTCTTTTTCTTGAACATTCTCATTTTCGTCAAGAAGTTTCATGGGTACCGGAGGGGGAAGCTCATCCTCTACATCTGGTGTGTTGTCAAGAGGGCTTTCTGAATTAGCACTTTGGCGACTCTTTTTATTTCGGTCTACAGATGCATATTCCGCTGATTCAATTCTGCACTCAGGAATCTGATTCTGACCTTCAGAAACTGTCAGTGAAGCCTTTGATTTGCTGTTACAGCTCCCTTCCATGCTGGCTGCTGCTCCAACGTCTTTAATTTCCTTCACAGTTTCATACAAGCAGTCTTCAACTATGTTCTCCTGAGAGGAGCTGTCTTTCAAGACTTCATAAGGCCCTTCCATTGCAAGACTTGGATCAATTTCTGCATTTCTAGCTGAGATGATGGTTTCCATGGTGGTGTTAGGGGGAATACTGGGTAGTTCCCGACTCTGGTGACATTTTAGAGACTTTCCAAGACTATCCTGTGGATCTAGCAGATCAGAGACAGATGTCTGTACTTCTTCATAAGGCTGGATACAGGCAGTTGTACTGTCCTCTGAGAGTACTAGAGAAAAGTACAAAGCAGTATTTAAAACAAATGCATAACTACGAGGTGAGTGTGATTTGGTGCTCCCTACATCACTTTGGTTTTGTGTCTCATTGCAAAGGATAAATGATACCAATGCCTGAAAATGTGAAGTGCTCATTATGCTTTTTGTTTATCAAAAGGTTTCAGTTACAGAGATTCCTGCACTCTACTGTTAAAATATCTTTCTTACAACACCTTAAATACCCTGTGCACCCCCAAGTCACATTATGTAGCAACAGCATTCACAGTAAGAACAGGGGATGGGTGGGTAGGTGCAGGTGTGCATGGATGTTCAGCTGTATTTGGTTATACCACATGCTTACAGACTGCTCAGTAGTCTCAGCTGGGGAACACTGGTGGGCGCCCTCAAGCCAAGTGCCTTTAAAAAAAGCCTTGTTCAATTTTCCTCTTTCCATTTCCCTATTCTTTAGAATCAAAAAGGAAACAAATCCTGCTTCCTCCCTACCCAGGCCTCACCTTGTGTAACACGCTGGCCAGATTCTCACCTGAATCCCACCTTGCTCAGCCCTGCCCCAGGCAGCCTCACTGCACGCTACACCAGAAGCTCCTTGCTGCAAGGCTATGCCATGCTTCTCTTAGTCTCGCAGCACATAATGTAGGTTGACAACCTACTAACGAGCCAGCCATATGCACAAAAGACTAGACTTCAGAAAGTAGTGTTAGGCAGAACATGTTATTTTAAGTCCCAGAAGCGAGTCACACTTCACTGTCACTAAAGGGCATTAAGGACCGAAATCTATGGGACGTCTCATTTTACAGTGCACATGGATGACATTTGCCTGCATTCAGGGATGTATACATGGACACTGACAAGCATGTTTCAGGCAGTATAGGGTATGTAACTTTTCATTACACCATTTCTTTGAAAAATCTCTTCCAAATAGCTTTACTTTTCTTAATAGAGTTCCTACGATACTTTCTCAGCAAAATGAACTCATTCATTCTGACATGATGACAGAAAGTGATGCTGAAGCAATCAGTACCCTTGATTTGGTGGTGGTCATGGATGTTGCTTTCTCTTGTTCTCAGGGCATGCAGACTCACGCAGTCAGCACCTGCAGGGAGCTGTACCCTGACAGCAAAACTTGAGATGGAACTGGGGGTGTGAGATGGTGATCGCTGTGTGAATGGGAGATGGGAGGAGAAGAAAAGGAAAGTGTCCTCCATTCACCTGCCTCCTTCATGCAACTAGGGAGGAATAGGAGGAAGTGTCCTATTGCCTCCTGACTAGGACTGAAGGTGTCCTTGTCACTACCCAGAGTGCCTGAAGACTGCCTCACGAACATCAAGAACTGGCCTGGAGAGGCTGGAACTTGTTTTCCCCTTCTGGTGCTTGCTCTCGGGGTTTTCTGTGCTATGCAGAGCACTGTCACAGGCTCCAGAGAGCAGCCACTCTGTTTAGCCTGGGATGATAAATGAGAGCTCACATTTCTCTGCTCCTGTAGTTATAGGTAGTGACACAGAAGAGGTTGGCATGGATAAGAGGTTGGCACAGATTAGGGGTTGGCATAGATAAACACAATGCTGGCAGGTTGGGTAAAGGAAAAAAACCCAACATTTCATGGTGCTGCAAGAGCTATTAACAAAAAGAATGCATGAAGTACAAATAATAAATTAAAGCACATTGGTCCCTGTTATTCAGAAGTGTTGTTTATCAGAGCGTAAGCTGAGTAATATCAGACAGTCTGAAAACTGTCTGCTGGTTGACAGCATGCCTTTCAGTAGCAGCTTTGACAGCTGCACATGTGGCAACACTTCTGCAGGGCTTTGTGCATCGCAGCCCTTGGTGAGCCACACACCTACGTATGTAAGCCAATGGGTGGGAGCAGCAATTAGCTGTGAAAACAAAGTTTAGAAATTCCTTTGGATCCTTGTCCCTGAGGGGAAAAGACTGAACAGCTCAGTCTCCAGCTGCACACAGTGAGATGAGGAGGCAGGAGATGAGGAGCACAGCCCACGGTGTCGGTGCCTAGTGTGGAGACAACAGTTGGCTCCCAGTGGCTCTGAGCTGAGACCAAGTTTATTTTTAGGAACAGCTGAGTAAAATATTTTCCAGTGATATTTCACTGTGAATCATTTTGAGCATTCAGCAAAGCAAAGACTAAAGGGGGAAAAAAGGAAGCCTGTTTACGTTGCCTGTTTTCTAAAATACAATAATACAAACGTCAGCCTCGCACAGCATGGGACTATGATCCAAAGCTGTAGTCCCTGGAGGAGGACCTGAAACATTTCCAGGAGTGAAGCTTTGAGGTACAACTGCATCTTCTGGTCATATCCTAACTCCATAGCTGGCCGTGATCAGGGAACACCAGAGTCTTTGCTTGATGGCCTTGTTAATCTGCAGGAGTAGCGTGGTGGCCCAGAGGAGAACCTGAGCACCTTACCAGTGTTGGCTGGCGTTGACTGAGAGCCAGGGTGTAGGGCTGTGCCGCAGCACATCTCCAAGTGGAGATGCAGCCTAAAACACCAACATCTCCATGGTTTGGGGTACTGATTTCCCAGCAAGGCAATCATGCTCACTGCAGTTTTAAATTGATAATAAGTTTTGTGCGAGTTATGTCCTGTGCAAAGAGGACTGACTGCCCTCTGGAGAGCTGCACACCCTGCCACTGCCCTGGGACGCAGCAGCTGATCCGTTGTCAGACCTCTAGAGGTGAGCAGGGGGAAACGCAGGGTATTCATGGCATGACTGTGCTCTTGGAAAGCTGATGGCTAGAAACCTAGACTTGAGGGATCACCAATGTGCAACTAAGGTGGGAGCTGTGCACAAGGGGATGGTGCCGCTTGTCCATCCCGCCCGCAGGGGCTGTGCTACTCACCCTCGCCGTTGCTGAGCGCCCCATTCTGGTCACTGCTTGGAGCGGGCTCTGTAGCCGAACTTGTGATTGAGTGGCTGAACACCTCCTTGTCGGAAGGCTGCAACACAAATTAGTGAGATCTAATCACCGTTGGATCAGCATAAATGTTTACATAAATAGATATGCGATGAATTTCATTCTGATCTCAGGAGCTCTGACTCACAGGTACTACTGGCAGGAGAGTCAAACCATACTGACTGTACTCAAAGATTTAGGTGCCTGTGTACACAGATGTTAAACCAAATGAATGCAAGTATGTCCAGAGTGATCTCCCTTCCAACCTTTATGGTAATAGACATTAGCAGGGCTTTAACCCGTGAGAAGTCAGCAGCTGACAAAGGGTACACTGCACTTGAACTGCAAAAGGAGTGAAAGAAAGGCAGAAGATCTGGAGTACAGCAGTGGCAAAAAGAGCATTGAGGAAGCACAGATTATCAGGGTCTTCATCAGTTCTCTTCCTCTTCCTGTTCTGCGACTTTTCCCTTGCTCAACCATCTCCAAATCCCTAAGCTATATTCCAACCTGCAGCATTCTGCAAGCAGCTTGGTACAAACCAACCACAAGACAGACACCAGCTGCCAGAAACAAATACTCACCACATTCATCAGATTTTCATGATCTCCATTCTGGTGTTTGGCCTTCTTTTCCCTTAATGAAAAAGACGTTTGAACTGTTACTACAGATTATGCAAACGTACAAATGCCAATCCTTAATAGAACTTACACACCTGCAGGGAACAGAACTGTGATTCACAATAATATTGAAAATATTGAGAATAACTGAAAATTATTACAGGGACTGGTATGACCCTATGTAAGTTAACCATTGAGGCAGGGCGGTGATGAACACATCTGAAGAGGTACCATAAACACACACAAACCTTTTTTGTCTTCACTGTATGATCACAGTAAGGAGTAACTGATGATAATCAAAATAATATTATCCTCAATTTTATCATATCTGAAATGCTCAATGATACATGAGATACATGATTCAGGGAGTTCCTTAAACTGTGTCAGAAACAGGTGTGTATCCTGTGAAGACTTAGAAAAGACCCACAAAATCCACCCTACTCCCACCTGGGATGCTAGTTATGATTAATAAAAAGCATGAGCCGTTCAAGAAGGCTTACACATTTCATAGGAGCAGAGGTCTTAAATTTAAAATGAAACTTGCTTCACCAGGTACTTCTTAGGACTCCAAGTATCGATCACATTTCCAGTTTTTACCATTTTGGAAACACAGCTCTTATTCTGAAATAATGTAATAAACTGTAAGCTTCAAATAATAATAGTCCTTCCCCTAGATGAAAAGGCAAGTAAAAAGGTGAGAAAATATTGACAATATGAAATCTGTGCTTCTTCTGAAGTCTTCAATGCATCGTACTTCCCACGTTAGCAACTGTTAAAGTTCTCCCTAACTGGGAAATACGAAAACAGAGCAAGTAAGGCTGCATCAGTGCAGGGCAGAGTTAAAGTTTACAAATACTTAATTTCCTCTCTGGAATGTTTTTTGACTCTGACATTTTAGAAAGAGCAGATTTTGTTCAGTTTGCTATGTCCTCAAACATTTTTGAAGAGTAAGCTAGGAAACAGTTTTGCATAATTGCATTTATGCATAAACAACCTGGCCTACGGAATGACCTGAAATAAAAGATGTTGCATCCAGACTAGCAACACAAGAATTTATTAAAGAGCATCACCAGATAGTTTCTTACAGTGTACCTCTGTAACTGCGAGGACATACTCAGTGGTTTGACTCTGTTTTAAAAACATCTTTCTAGAGATATTTCAAGGACTGGAGTGTTAGAAGACAAAACATGGTGCCTAAATGCAGTGTCTGTGGGCTTAAGGTTGTTTAAAATAGGTTTTATACTTTTGAATAAATGAAAAATACATACTAAAATACTTTACAATTTTTACACAGCTATCACAGGAAATTGTGATGAATAGGAAGATACTGAAATGTCACTGAACATCTTATGAAAGTATTTCTCCTGAATCACATGAAATGACAAGTTTCAGCTTATGGTTTTTAGGGTTTCAGCCAACTTCTGGGATCTGGTCTTGCCCATGACTGTTTTTGCATTAAAGAAATCCTACTGAAAACCAAGGCCTTCTGTAGACACACCTTGTACCAATATAGGGGGTCAATATAGATACAAGTCAATGTAAGTCCTCAGTGTTTCTTGCTAATTAGTTATTACTGAAGCTAATTTCAATCCCCGCACTACTTGACTGAAGAACCATTCCTGGCTCCTAAGCTGCTGAGCCTTACCTGTTGCAGCTGGAGCAGAGGAAGATGAGGAAGGTGAGAAACAAGAGCGTTGTCATGGCTGCCAAACTTCCCCACAGGATGATGTGGACCTGTCCACTGCCTAGGAAACCACCCTCTGGCCCCATGGCGTGAGCGGGAGCTGGCGTCACTGGGGGATGAAGAGGTTACTCCTCAGAGAAGGCTGGCATCTGTGCTGCGCACACGCTCTGCTTCTGCAGAAACAAAAACATGGTTAGAAGTTAATACAGATTTTGACGATAATGGACCTGACAACTACAAATCTGTCAAGAGAGATTTTCAGATCCAGATCTTACAAATAAAACCAGTTTCAAGTACAAGCCAGGCAGTCAAAGAGCTTTTCAGTTACATTTCTGACAGTGCCATACAACAAACCTTGTCAAATATTAACGCAAGCTGTTACCTATCTACAATCTCAACACATGAAAAAAGGTAGTACAGTATCTCTGTACTTGTATTTTGAGGAAAAGTTTATAAATCCACTTTAAGGGACAGAGTAGTCTATTTGGCAGTGATATTTGTTAACTTCATACAAAAGGGAGCTTTTAAAACCAGCTATAACTTCTGCAAAGTTAATAAGCTAAAAGGAGAGTTGCAGCAGGTGTTCACCTCCTTCCCTCTCGTCTCCTGCCTGCACGTGATTTGGTGCTTAAAGTACAGTGACAAATAAGTTAGGTAAGTCTTTTAAAGGAATACCACAAACACCTTTCTTGCAGCAGATCAGATCTAATGTCTATGTGAAATGCTTATTTTCTTAATAATATGTCTGGACAGTAATAATACTGAATTTTTTTTTTTGCTTCTCCCTACCTGAGTCTAAGAAAACAACTAATGAGAAAAGTAGACACAGATGTTTTTAAGAACACGAATAAACAACTTTTGCTCCAGCACAGCAGCCCCTGAAGAAACATCCTGGGCTAGCAGCATTTACAATACATAAGTTTTGGTATACAAGTTATTCTAAAATGTTTTAGGGTTTTTAATTTAACACATTGTTGACATGGTAAAATTAAAACAAACAAAAAGACAGAAGTCTCATTCTGCACTGCTGAAGATATCAATTTATCTGTAATTTAGGAACAGGTTATGCAAAGTCAATTTACAGGCTCTCTGCCAGACTTCGAGATTGAGAAACACTGAAATAGAATACAATAGTTAAGAAATAAGCAGTTATCTTTTGGGAATGAAAAAGTAGCACAAACATAAGATTGAAAATGTGTTTTTTATCAGAAGCACTTTGCAATAGCAAATTCAACTCAGTACTAGTATCATATCTGTATCAAAAAACACCTCACCACCATTTTGTTATTAAAATCTTATGAGAAGAAAGATTAATTTCCAGAAAAAGGCCAATCACATCAAAGGAAATCTGGTGAGTGAGCAGAAGAAAGTTAACAACTAAGCTATGGGACAGGGTAGCTCTACAAGTAACATTTCTGTTCCTGTACAAAACAGGATCATTGATTTCTACCATGTAGAATCAGTCTCCTGGAGGCCTTTAAAGGAGAACCCATTCTTACTCACTTATCCATGGTGGACTTTTTTTTTTCTTTTGGATATTAATGGCATTGCAATAACTTGAAGTGGGAAGAAAGAAACAAAAGATGGAAAAAGTTGCCAATCCTGGAAAGACAAACTGCAAAGTGTACTTAAATATTTCTAGTTTGGCCAAGTTACAAGAAAGTCAGATAATCTGTAGCTTCTCCAAGCCCATAAATACACAGGATGGGAAGAGTAGGTGTCACACACCTTTCCAAAGCACAGGTATTTCTTACTGGTAGCCTTGAGCACCAACACTGAAGAGCTACCACTCTTTGGGGACGGCTGCTGTCAAGAAATGTGCCTCTGTGGTCATCCTGGTAGAGTCTGAAAAATTAAACATTTAAAAGCAATGGCAAACCACTCTAAAAATGATGTATATTGCAGATGTGAATCTGATACAGCTCTGCCTCATTCCTATTTAAAGGAAAACTTGGGTTATTTCTACACTGAGCCATCATCACATCACTGACTGTGAAACTGAGAGACCTTAAGAGAAGCAGAATCAGGTTTAGTCAGGAGAAGACTTGGTGTGATGCCCACAAAGACCTCTCTGATGAAGTGCAAGGGCACTGTGGACTGTGATGGATTCCTGTAGAGGTGATGGACCTTGCTCATTTAGAAAATACTGCAAAGCACACTGCAGTGACTGCCAAACTAGCTCCAAACCCTTGTTTTGAACAGAAAGTATTTTTTTTTTTCAACTTTCATTTTTTATGGCTTTTCAACGACGTTTTCTGACCTGTTAAAGCTTTTAAAAGTTCTTCTTAAAAAGTCTTTTACCTTATTGTTTCCCATTACTGTGCCTTTAAAAAATACTATTTTTCTTCCTTTCTTGGAAAAAAAGGAAGAAATGAAAATGAAATGGGAAAAAAAAGAAAACTGAATAAAATATTTTTCCAACATTTTTGTTGTCTTTTCTTTCTTAGTTTTCCCAAGATATAAAAAATATAATCTTTTAAATCTTTTTTTTTCACAAATACTGGGCAAAGAAAAACATAATAAAAATAGGGATTTCAAGCTATTTTTATTTTTCTGAAAACAGAAGCACATGGTTATTTGGTTATTAAAGAAGACACAAAGTTGTCTTGAGTGTTATAATTGAAACTATTTCTACTAATAAGTAAGTTCATTATTTTACCTTCTCTGAAGAACAGTACTGCACACCTCTCAGAAGACTAAGTACGATACCAAAAGCTAATACAGTAGTTAGTTCTATTTAGTTCTTTTATTCTACACATACATTCTTAAGGCTGCTGGCCTTTAAATAAAGACAATACTTGAGCTAAGGAAAGCTAAGGATGCATGGGAAGCAGACCCACAGAAAAGCTGCATCTTTGAAGACTTCAGTAGAGAGTTCGGAAGTGGTGGGATGAGCAGGAGTGGATGAGGCTGAGCTTAAAAAGGAGTGAGATCAGAGAGAAAGAGTCGAGGAGACCGACGTGCGAATGTCAGGAGTGAAGTGCGGTATTGAAGCTAGACACAAGGCATCACACCAGGCAGCAGCCAAATGGAGCAAAGAGAATGACCAAAGACAGGAGCCACAGTTAATCTACAGCAAAAGACCAAGAATTCAGATTCCAAAGCTTTGACTGTGAGTTGAGAGAAAGAGGTCAGGAAAGGTTGGGAAACTACAGTGGCACTTGAACCAGTGGAGGCAGCTGCTGGAGACACCAGTTACCTATGCAAGCAGAGTAGAGTAATAATTTGGAACAGACTGACACAGATGAAGCCCAGCATGAGAGAAGCTGAGCAGGCAAGATGTGACCAGTGACTCCTCTTAGCTCCTTGAATGGCGAGAACCTAGCATAAGTGCTAGAGGACTGAGAAGCTGCTCAGCATACGGGACAACCAGAAGTAAATATAATACAAAAAAAGCATGCCTACGTTCACCCTCTGAGAACCCTTCTCATGAAGGGTTTACTCCTACTGTTCAACGCCTCCCAGACGATAGCATTCACTCAAGCTGGTGCCTTTAACACAAGAGAGCTTCTGAAATACCTGAAGCTGGACAAGCACCCATCAGCTGCCCTGACCAGCCCTTGACAGAAACCTGGCAGAGAGATACACTGAAAATGCAACCGTCTGCGCTTGCTCTGCTTCCACATGGTGAATGCTTGGATGCTAAAACATTAACGTATGGCTGGTATAATGGATTTTGGAGCTACTACAGAGGCTAGATTTCAAGTGAAACTTATTTGCAACTATAGCCATGGAAGAACAATCAGCTAATGTCAAAAATCTCTTCAACAGCTGAAATGGTTAACTCCTGCTTTTACAATAAAAAGTTATATTATGCTGCCCTCTGGTGAATCTCTCTGTCTGGGGACAGGGATTTGTGGCTCTTGCGAGGGTGCTTCAGAGCTGAATGCCAACCCTGACAGAGCTGACACTTTCATCTGCAGGGCTTGAAAAAGTCCTACCACCACCCTTGAAAGACTGTCAGACTTGAATAGTTTAACCTTGCAGAGTGACATCACAGAGACAGAAGAACAGTCAATTGAACTAGGATTTTTTTGGTATATGAAGATCTTTTAAGATGAAGATTTATTTTCTTGAACCCTTTTCACAGAAATCTCCACAGACATTGCTGGTGATGCTGAACTCTAAAAAACAGTAATAGAGACAGGCCTGGAACACCTGGATAAGGAAAATGGTTATTTCATCTAAGGAAAAATGCAAACAACAGTTTGCGTTCACATTTCAAAGCTGCTATCAGATCCAAAACCTAATCCTTACACTATATTAAACAAAATTTCTTCTTCTCATGGTACCTTTCTCTGGCTTCTTAGATATCAATATTTGCCATTAGTGGAACTTATATGGCAAATAATGCCTGTAGCCATTTCCTCAAAATTGCACTTAAATGCCCAATTGTGTCTGCGGTTTCAAGAAAGACAGATATTTAATTGCATGACCTGCACTTTCATGGTGAATAATGTGTTATTTCTCCTTGCAGCTGTCGCAGGGATAAAGCAGAGCTGAGGCAGTTCAGCCTGAGTTGGTGATGAGGGGAGTGTGCAATGTACAAGTTGAACGAACTTGAAAAATATAAAACTGTACGTCAGGTGAAGCAGTTTTGAGCCCAAGACACTGGCTGCAATTTTGAGGAGCACACTGAGTGAAAATTTTACCCTGTGAGGAAGATGCTGCAAAAGCTTGAACTGAGACCTGAACTCCTTTGAAGCCCTTGAACTGACAGATCCAGCACACTTCAGGTCAAGGACCTGACCTGGGTTTTCTGAGCAGAGATCTGCCCGAGGTTATGGCGAAATGTGTACGGGATGTGCTTTGCGAGAGGCGGATGCCATGGCCCAGTGGCCTGGCAGGAGATGGCAGCTTGTCCCTCTCCCGTCGCCTTCTCCTTGGCTTCTGGGTTTTATAGCTGTCTCATTCATGTCCTGCGGCAAACCACGCTCAGCTCATGCTTTCCAGAGGGGAAAGAGTGGGAAAAGCCAATGGCTTCACCTCTCTGGGTTTCTTAATGAATTATTGATGGAGCATAGGCAAGGAAAGAAATTTTTCTGACAACTGAGTGATTTTGAATGTGAGAAGCCAAACACAACAG